CATACTGTATTAACACAATTGATCTAAAAACATAAAATCAGAGTAGAAAAAGTTATGTTTTCTACTGTAACAACCACAAACATGTTTACTGAATCATACTTCATAACTTTAAATGCAAATATAAATTGTCAATTTTAAAATCATATGGACAAGTTTTGTAAACAAAGTTGTTTGCAGCCATTTAACTTTTACCTTTTTTTAATAACCATTTCAAACTATTTGTATAACGATCAGCTGTTCTGCATCAATAAGATGCCAGAAATTATTTGTGCCACTCCAAAAAAATTATTTCTGTCCACTATAAAGGAGAACATCACAGCCTGATACCTGCAGGTCTGACAGCAGCAGGTGTGTCACTCCTGTTTGTTACCTGGAGACAGCAGTCGCCTCATTGTTCTGACACACAACACAAAACTATCCACAACACTACACACACAAAACGTCACAAATCTCTCACATCTCAAAAGTTGCTCGCGTGCTCTCTCGCTCTCTCTCTCGTTCTCTCTCTCTCTGGCGGGTGCGCAGTCTTCCCCCCTCGTCCTAAACAACCAAACGTCATGTTGCCATATCATTTTTTTTTTTGAATGGTCAATATGGTGCATTTTTCCACCAACACGAAAGGGCAGGGTTTTTTTGGGGGTTTTTTGTATTTTCTTCGTTATAAGCAGAGAGTGCTTGCTAGCGCTGTCCTGACGGTAAACGTTACAAAACTATTGAGGAAAAAACCCGCGTATATATTTATCTTGACTCTGGTTTTACGTGGCCTATCAACACAATTTAAAAACTATATCACCTTGTTGCTTTGTCATCTTGAAGTGGTCATGTGATTGGTTTACCACGACTACTATATTCTTCCTCAGTCAAACGGCAGCACTCATGCGATTGTTTTGCCCACTTAGCTCCAGGTGTTGTGTTAGAAAGTGATCGCTTACACACTGTGTAATAAATACTCACAAAGAAAACTGCGGCCTTTACAACTTATGTCTAAAATCGTTTCATGCATCGGTTAAAACACTGGACTCCAGGCATACCACGCCCAGCTGAAAACACTTCACGCAAGTCGAGCTGCCCGAGATTCACAGAATTTACAGAAAAGGTTAAATTTTTGTGATTTATATCATTATCGGGACGATATATGTCTTATATCGGGATATGAGATTTTGGTCATATCGCACAGCCCTAGTTTGAAGTCCACACTTTTTCCGTCAATTTTTCCGTCTGTCCTGCTCACATCTCCAGTGGTTGCACACGTTGTCATTAGCGTGTATTCACTCCACATTGGCCACACCGCTTTCCTAGCTAAAACACTGGTGGCGGCACATAAGGACGCTGTCATAACCTGTCAACGACTTTATTTCGCTGCGTATATACGAATGTGAATCACATTATTGGCTGGAGCAGCCAGTCACCTGTCACTGACTCACACTGCAAAACGGCACAGAATGAATTGTTACACATTTATTTTAATTTCAATTCAGGTTGGATTTTATTCTTTTTTTTTTTTGTGCGCACACGCGCAGCTTAGAGGGAACTTGGTCACCAGATGTACCAAGACACCAGTTGATGAAGACAATGAAGAAATAGGAGGCTGCAACAAAGAAAATCCAAATCAAGCATCTCAGGCTTAACTAATCAGGATTATTTTTGAACCGCAAGCCACGTAAAACAACTTAAGTTGAGTCCAAGAATAAAAACATGGAGATGGAACTGAGCAGAACAGGTTGACTTTAAGATTTGTGTTTTGTTTGGAAAAGTCTGGGTTTAGGGAAGAAGAAAAAAAAAAGTGTAAAATCAAAAAACTGTGAAAGACAGTGGTGTGTTCTGGTATCATTTTTTACCCCCCTGCCTCATCCTCTAAGACCTTTTCCTTTCCTTTTCTGCTGTTTCAGGTTTTGACTGTCGCTGTGGAAATCTGTTTTGCGGAATTCACCGTTACTCCGATAAGCACAACTGTCCATACGACTATAAAGCTGAAGCTGCCGCAAAGATCCGTAAGGAGAACCCCGTTGTAGTTGCTGAAAAGATCCAGAGAATATGAAAACTGGGAGTTTGACTTTGAAGCCTGGGAGTGATCGCCTTTCAGACAATGGACTCTAGCCCAACTTTTCCTCCCAAAGGACTTGTTTGTTTGTTTTTTGTTTTTTTTCTCTTTTGTTACACATCAGGGTGTTTTGGGGCCCCCTGTGCATGGATGTTCACGTTTTCAGCTTCTTATTTGTGTGTGAGTTAAACACTTTAACAGGATTTTATTGAACTAAAGAAATGTTGGGATTGAAGTGAGGTGGTTTTGTGTCACAGTAACCGGCTGATGTTGGAGAAAAATGTGATTACCCTTTAGAGTGAAGGGGGGAGAAAAAAAAAAACCTACCTTGCCGGTTTTTGTGATCCTCCTGAAATCGCTTGAACTTCGCGTGGAATGGGGCTGTGATGGCCTTGGACTCTGGGACTTCTCAGCTGTGCTTGCTCTCTGCTGGCTTGAGTAGCAAAATGGATATCTTGCTTTTCCGTTTGCAGCCGTCGCTCTGTGAAGTCAGTGTTTAACCCTCCCGTCTTGCCAGAGTTTGGTAAGTTTTTATCTTCTTGGACTTTGTTTCTCTCTGGCTCATATTCTTTCCCAGAAACCTAAGGTAGTTGGGCCGTTTTCTCTCCCATTGATTTCTGTTTTGTTTTTTTTATATATATTTTTTTCTTTGGATGTCTGGTTAGTGTGTCATACACTAAAACATTTGGGAGGGTTTAGCTCCTTCAATAATCATCTTACTTCACTATTGAATGTTTTGTTCATGTTTTTAATGTGAGTTGAATTGACAGTGTTGGGAGTGTTGAATGAGGTAGTGATTTAGTGAAGTTAGTTATCAATAATTTACCATTTCAGTTGATTTTTGGTCAGGCTGCTTAATCATCTTGGTTTTGACCCCTTTTCAGTCATGCAAGTTTGTACAAACCTCTTTATTTATACACTGTCGTGTGCTTAATCTTCTAATAATACAGAATAAATTGTACGATTGTAAATAAATTATGTTCACCACTAAACGGTAAGGAGGTCACGGCTCGTCATTTTGTTCTTGTCTTTCATACTTTAGCTTAAAGTCTGGATTGGGGTTAATAAGCCCCCAAACAAGACTTGCCTGTTAACGTTAAGCCAGCATAATAAGAAAAATTCGGACTGTCCATACACAAGGATCACTAGGTAACTAACGTGAAATGTACAAAAAATTAGTCTGATTAAATTTGTCAAAGTGACCTGCATCAAGAAGCTTTGGAGTAATATTAGAGACTGAGAGGTTGACATAACTGTGTCTGCATACTGTAAGGTAGGCATGCTAGACTCCTGGCTCAGACTCAGATTGATCTTGTGGGCTGGAGCATTGAAGGTTGTCTTTCTCTAAGGGAAGCTAAGTTTAAGTACAAATTTAATCCCTGAGATATCTTAATATAAATGCAGTTTTAGAAGTAAATCTTAATTTTTCCACATCATGAGGAAATGTTGCTGTAGTAAATGGAAAATCTTTCAGCATGTCTGTGCAGGAGCTTAAATTGTAAGAAATGTGTCAAATTACAGGAAAAAATCCTGGTAGCACATCTAGCTTCTCCAGATGGTCCATAAAGTAAGTAAATTTTATGTTCTTTCACATTTTCTAAAAACATCCCATGGGTTGGATAGGAGTCTTTCCTGTGCTAATTCTGGACCTGGGCCTGATACTTGATACCACCCATCATCATCACATAAATTACAAAAAAAGATACTTAGTTTTCAATTCTGGTTTTATTATCTTGAGAGCTTGAGAAGAAGGTGACTCGACTTCTTTAAGACTACAGTGACTGGCATGAGAAAACTACAGACATGACTTGAAAACAAACTTTAATAAATACTATTAAAGCTACACTGCTCATAGTCCTGCTTTTGTGGCTGTTTGTGAAGGTATTTACCTACTTGGAGTGAGGATTATAGGTATACAACCTATATAGATGAAACTTTATTAATCCCTCCGGTGGGTTCCTCTGGGAAATTCAGTGTGTGTGTGTGTGTATGTGTGTACATGCATGCCTTGCTTGAAATAGCTCAACATGAAAGCAGAGGAAAAGTGAGACGAAAACACATAAGGCACAGACAGCACAGACACTCACTTATCCTTAATCACTAGGGAAAATGATGTTTGGAGACTGGGTGGAAAAATGGTCTGCATCAACTTGCTGTCAGTTGCCGTCTTCAAGGCAACTTTGGTACCATTAAACGGCAATAAGATACTGCAACCTGTTTAAATGAATGGGGTGAAGGTGGCTTGAGATTTGTTTTGGATAAAATGATAAAAAGCTGCCGAAAAACCCAAACCATCTGATAAATTGCCAAAATATTATAAAAGGGACAAGTTTTGTGCATCCTGAGAAAGAAAGTACTGGAGAAATGTTCCCAGAATAAGTTCCGTGGTGATGAGAAACTCCTTCACAACAACAAGCCAAGTTAACAATATCCATACCTAAAGAAGTCAGGGTATCGATTTCCAAATCTACCATAAAGACAAGACTGCATGAAAGTAAATACAGAGGGTTCACTGCAAGGTGCAAGCTATTCATAAGTCTCAAGAATAGAAAGGGTTGATTGGACTTTGCTAAAAGAAGAAGAGAAATTTTTTCTAAGACAGCCATCATAGTTCTGCAAAAGCATTCTTTGGACAGATCGTGCACCAGAACAACATTGTTAAATGGCCACCTCAGTCACCTGATCTTAACCCAGTTAAGCATGCATTTCACAATGAAACCTTAGAAAATTAGGATTCAGCTTTGTCATTACACATGTATGAATAAATGTTTTTGCGTAATAAATACACAAACACGTAGGACTTTTTAACAGTATTTTCATGAGTTTCAGTCTCCTACCCCCATTAAAGAACTCACCTTTGATCATTACAACAAAGTCACTGAGTGATGGATAATTAAACAACAGAAAAGTTCCCGATTTGCGTTTTTCAGTTTTGTCTTGTTTTAACAACAAAAGTAAAATAAAAATGTAGAACTCTGAAGTAACAAAAACCTTCCATTTTATAATTCCAGGACAGTCTGGACAATGAGCTGCCAATTTTACACCTTCATTTCTTACATTTTAAGCTCAAAGATTTGTTCTTTACAGTGAGACTTTTGGGATACTTGCTCTACTGTGACTGAGCCATTGATAGTCCACAGACTGGTTGTTTGTGACACTGACCCCCTGGTGACAGTAATGAGCTACAGCATGCTGTTCACAGGACCAATGTTTGAAACTGTACACGAGGCATGTCAATAAAGAAAATTAACATTTCTTTCATTTTTGTGTGGGGATTTTTTTTTTTTTTTTTTTTGGATTGGTGTATTTATCAACTGTAAGTGAGTGGAAGTTGCATTTAACTGTCTCTAGAGATGTTATATTGCTCAATGAATAAATTATTGAACATTTTTTTCACATATTTTCAGCATTCTTTAGTAAAAATTGAGATACTACTGTAACATTTCCCCCTAAAGGGCATGCACACAACATCCAGTTGACATTTCCAGGCTGCAGGCTGTCGTTTCCATGTGACTCAACAGGGCCTGCTTCAGTGAGCGCTGGCCTCGGGTCACATTATGACACCTGCTCCCTGTTTTGATCCACAAGTGCAGAGTGTACTCACTTATCAGGCACAAGAAAGCAACATGTACACTTTTGTTCCCCACCACCCCCACAGGCTCTCATCTCTATCCAGAATAATAGAGTGAGTTGAGTTTTTTTTAAGTTTTTTTTTATGTCTCCTTGTTATCTTCCTCTGGGCACTTCATGTGTTAACTGCAGTAAAGTAATCTTCAAACAGTCAGTGCAAATTCACTGGGAAGAAAAACAACAATTTTAATTTACTAGGCAAGGTATTTTTGAAAAAGTTTTTTTTAATTTTGTGTAATTACAAAATGTACTTTCCTCCTCTGTGTTTGCCTACAACTGGGTGCTGACCCAGTTGAAGCTCTCGGGTTTACGTAACACTTGTGTTTACCATACAGGAACAGAAGGGCTGTCTTTAGTGTACACAGACCACTGTCCTCTGGCCTTCCTGCAGTCTGAGTATGTCCATAAAAGAAGGCGATGACATGGTTGTTTCTCCAGGAGATTATTTATAGCATAAATGTTATTACTATTGCGTATTGTTTTTTGGATTCAGCCGCTGTTCTGCTGTGGCCGTCTTATTTGGCTCTCAGGTTCCACAGAAATAACTGAAGTTGGTTAAAGAAAGTATAAATGTCCAAGACAAAGGAGATAAAAGGAGAAAAGAGTGAAAAAGTGATTTAGAAATCTAATAAACCCAAATTTTCCTCATAATAAAATACAGAAAATGTTCATTTACTTACAGGCTGTTTTATATTCACCTCAGCTCAAGATGAGATGACGTGAAGACAGACCTTTGCTATAATCAACCAGCCTTTCTCAGCCAATATAGCAAAAACCTAAGAGCAACATGCAACAGGTTAACAGAAACTAAGAAAAAGTGAATAATTCCTCACATTGTATGAAGTTTGATTAACCATTTAAATACTTAACATGATCTCAAAATCAAATCTTAGTTCATATTAATTTACATATACTTCCATATTTAAGGATTTGAGTTGCTTGTATTATCATGACCCACCACCAGGTGGCCCAGTAGACATAATTTAAGGAGTAAAACGTGAACAAAGACCTGGAGCTCCAGTGTGGGCTTCTTATTGTAACATAAACATACAGCCAGTATAAACTATAGAAGAAGTTAAGGGTTTAAATTAAAGTTATATACATTGTATGGTCACCAGTACTTTAGAAAATATATAGTTTTGAAAACAAAAAGTCATAGAAAAGAAAAGGCAGTGGGGCAAAATACTGACAAAATAACACAGTGACGTAACAACAAGTGTGCGTGATGGGGTGCTGTCCGGCTGTTTGGTCCAATGGCACGGACCAGTTTTACCACGGATGACAGGAGATGGAACAGCCATAGCGGGAAGGAACTGGAAAAACATCTGTGTGCATTGAAAAACAGGGTTGCGTCCTCATTCAGAGCCTCTGAAGCAGTATACCATGACTGGTTTGCTCTGAGCCAAGCCCAGACCCAGCAGGAGGGTGCCTGAGTAGGGGGTCCCCAGCATGTTTTAGATCAGAGGGGGATAGGGAGAAACAAGGCACTTTTTAAAATATGCTAATTAATAGTGCCACTGCAGATGTACAGTCAATATTACAACACTCACCACACCTGAGCCTTTAATTTCTAACTGCTTATGCATATTTTATGATGGCCTTGCATGAAATATTGATTCAGAAACACTGGATTTTTTTTTCTGCCAGGCATACATTATTGTAAAATAAATAAGAAATAAGCAGTTTTATTAAATAATTTAAAGTTGCGCACCCTGTGATTACAAAGTTGATATATTTATTTTTGTAAATTTTAAGGATTACATTTAAATGTGTCAGTGTTCGTCAGTATCTACCGGGTGGCTAAGCAACAATTGCTAATACAAGCTTTCAGGAGTATTTCACATACACACTGAACTGGAGTTATATCATAGACTGTACCTAAAAGCTGGACGCAGTGTGTACACTAAAGCCAGATGATATCAAACCTCTTCTGGCATTAGTATCAGCACAAAAACTGTGTATCTGGAGGCTTCATGGCAATGCTTTCCATGGCACTA